CCAAACCATTCTATGATTCTATGATCCTATACCCTGTGATGCTGATACTTGGTTTGATATTGATGCGTGAGAGAGAATCCAGAGTACAGTGATCCAGCTGTGAGGCTCACTGATAACAGAGTCCATGTCTCTGCATTTTGAGCTGCACAGTGAGAGGAGCCACAGTAGTGGAAATGGCAGGTTATAGCAGCAGGACCAAATTTCTCAGCAAAGCTTAGGAAAGGAACAGCAGAGATAACAATGGGGACTACAAAAAGAGAGATGGATGGATATTTGAATGGTGCAATATGTGACTGGAAGTGGTCTTCCATGTCACCAAGTCCTGCAACACCAGAAAAGCACATTGTGTTATGTGTCCCTTTACTGCATTTCTCAGTCACTGTCTAAAGACATTTGGAATTCCTGCCCTAACTTCTTGTTTTGGTTTCAGTGTAAGACTTGTTATGAGAACACTGATAAAACCAGGACACTTCTTTTATTAGAAGGCTGTTTCCAAATGTCACTACTCTGATTAAGGGTGACCTTTTAACTTACCATGGCCATTTTATACTCATTTGCTCTTTTACTGATATTGTTCTTTAGATTAAATAGGTCATATTGCCCTCTGTACATTTTTGATGCTGTTTCACAGATTTACGTATCACAGGACTGTGCCAGCATGAGCATATCCTAATTATCTCATCTGATGTTTCTGCCATATTCTATTCTCAAGACTGTGTTCAAACTTTCCAAAACCACTTTTCCACTATTCTGCAGATACAAAATGGATCTATGGGCCTATGACAAGTTATACAGAGAGATTTAGATTTTTAAGACACAGGCAGACATGCAGTGGAACCTTCTAAGTGCAGACTCATATAATATATTGAAATCACTGGGGATTAGAAACATAAATAGGAATAAAAATAACAACTTTCATCTTCTAAATGTGTATTTCTAATCTAATTCATGGATAACTAACTAACTAGATATTTGACTATCAATTTCAGTAAAGCTACATTCAGTTATACCTCCTAGGAATTTCTCCCTGCACCTAATCCTAGAGTTTGGGCTGCAGCAGCAACTAAAAGCATTGATAAATGAATATAAAAAGAGAGAAAGGAACAGCTGTGGGGAATTCTTTCCAATTATGATGAATGGTATACTACCAAAGTTTGCTACACAAATTGTACTCTACACATTGGTTGAGATAGTTTTAGAAAAGGACATAAACCAATGTCAAATTGGAAGTCTTTTGTGAAGGGTGAAGATTCTATAGAGCATTTCAAATTTAATTTTGAATTTAGTTAGTATCTATGTTCCTGGAATGTTTAGCTGTTCCAAGCCATTTCTATTGGACCTTTTCATAATATCCAAGTGCTTTGGAGACAGCAAAAGCATAGATTTTTTTTTTTAATATATTTTTTTTCTGCATAACGGTGTCATTAGCATATAGAAACTGGCACTCTGGCACTTATTAGCCAGTCGGAATTTTTTTTAAAAAACCCCCAAAAACCAAAGCTTGACTTATGCTTATGTAACTTATAACAATTAGTCTTTTTGACTTTTTGCCATATTAGCTATGAAAAGATTTCTATGTATAACTACTATGAATAATTCAAAATATATTAAAATGTATCTGGAAAAGATTAAATCTTTCACAATGGACCACGGAAGAAAGTACGATGGTTGCAGATTCAAGTTGGCGATCAAAGACAAAATACATGAAAGATAAAAATCCAATTACTTCTTAGGCACTAACTGATCTCAAGATAGAACTGATAGAAATTTTTTCTCTATTTCTCTAAGAGGGTGTGCAATACATTCCTTTTTAAATCTGTCAAAAGGAGTAGAAGCATGGAAAATATCTGGCATAGCAGCAATGTGGAGAAGCTGCAGCCTGTTCTATGGAAGGCAGGTCAGCAGTAAGTCAAAAGCTACTCTTGGCAAGATCTTCCTTATGCAATCTCTATCTGAATTCTAGTACAAAGCACTTCTAACCTCTTTCAGTCTGTCAGTGGATGGGCATTTAAGGGTCAACCCGCTGCTTACTAAGACTATAAAAGTTATTTGGGATACTGTCATGTCTTAATATTTTTTTTTTCAGTATGTTGCACACTGGTAGCCTGTCCTCGCCAGTCTCTATATGACATTACAATACAAATGTAATATTGATACTGAAACTAGCTGAAAACTTCTGTTTCCTTCAGAGGGCACTGTGTCTGTCTTAGAGTGAAGAAATATGCTGTCTTTAATTGTTTTCAGTTTTGTTTCAATTGTATACTTCATTCCCAAGTATGACAGAACATATCATACATCCCGTCCAAAGGTATCTGCTTTTCATTTTGACAGCCTTTTTGACGTACTCATATGGAAAAGATATCCACAGGAAAGAGCATTATGAAAAGCCAAAGAACAGTAACAAAAATTACAAGGTGTAACTATGATACCTATATCAGTGGCACAATCATCTATCATTGGTTATTACAGTGTGCCTTGCACTAATCAGCAATTCATAAAGCTGAGAAAAAGAAAAAATAATGAAGCTAACATTTTTGACTGACGAGAATCATTTAAATTAGTGGAGTTATTTGGGGCACTTGGTGCATACTACAGCTTTTTTCCTTTGAAAAATAGAGAACTGAAAAGTTATGTTTGTTAGCAGTATCATCTAATGTTGTAAACTACCTCATGTGCAACTGAATTGGAGGTAAAGTAAGTAATGGCTCAAACCCTTCAAATTGTCTTGGAGAGACTGAAATAATTCATGAAAAGAGTAACAGTCTATTGAATACACTGATAATTGGCTCCACAAAACTGAAAAGGAACTAAAATAGTGGGTACTGCCTTACCTGGGTAACCTTCTCTGTTACATTGTGCGTTCGTTCTTTCACCTTAGGTGCAATAATTGCTTTCTCTGAAGAAGGAGGAGATGAAGATTTTTTTTCACTTTTGATATCTGAAAAGTTCAGTGTGAGTTGAGGAATTTTGTTGATTGTACTGTATTTGTTGAGATTTGAATCTGATGTGGATCCCAACAGACTTGACTTGATATGATTAAAAGGCCCTGAAAAATTAGAACACATATTTAGTATTTGACAAGTGCAGAGAAATAAGTTATCATTAATGTTTAAATGGGATATGTTAAAAATGTAGTTAAAAACTATTTTTCACTATACTACTTGTTAATAGTAAAACTTATCTACATTTTAAAAATAACTCTATTGAAAATGAGAATCAAATTTAGTATTGGATGCAAATATTAAATTTCCTTTACCTATAGTGCCCAATTTTTTTTATAAACTCAGTGGATTGCAAAGTACATAACACATCCATCCTTACTTGTTTTCATGTTACTGGATATCCTGGGTATTATAATACTGGCTGAATGTAAGGACTATATTCTCATTTGTTTAAAAAAGCAGAAACAGGACACACAATTATATAAGAGTGCCTGAACCGAGCAACGGTTCTGTTATCACATATGTGCTGTTACTCATGGTCACATGATAGTTTAGAAATGCCTTTTAGTAAACTGGAAAATTGAGTAGACCCCTGCTCTACCCCTGTTGACTCATCAAGTAACTCTGTATTTACTCAATGGAAATATTAACCTAACATTGTCCTAAAAGCCTTCAATTCTGAAGTATCACAAACTCACAAAATATATTTCTTCAATTGTCGGTACCAACAAAATATTAAAAAAATAGAGATACCCATATGTAGAATATAAGTCAGATGAACAAGATTCTTGATACCTAAGGAATTCAAAGGTAAGAGGAAACTAAGAGAACTTAGGCAAAGCCATGATTAGATAGTAGATAAGATTTTTTTTTTTTTAATAGTAACTTTACAGATGCTTAAATTGCATTGAAGTTTTGTTTTCTGGGATTTAAATCTTTTATTGTTTCTGTTCCAAAGGGAATTACTCTTTCCTTCACTTCTTAAGAGCTATGCCCTAATGTGTTATATTAGACTTAAGTTAATTGCACATGAGAATAAAACCTTGCTTTTTTTATGCACCTTCTTTTGCTTTTGAAAGTGGTGAAATGTATCTATGTACCTCATTGATAATGATAATTAATTGAAAGACATTACTAGCTTAAATGAGCTGATACTTGACAGCTAGTGTACCTTTGCTATACTCTCATAGCAGGAAGCAGAAAAAGAGGGTTATAACAAATCACAATTGACATTAATTGGTACCCTGATTGACAGCTTCAGGACAGTGGCCAAGAAGTGAATAAGCAGGGAGAATGACATGCTTTTGCGTCCCTACGAAGGAGATTCTTTAAGGCTAAGTTTGCGCTCCCCATTTTTATGGTAGGATTTCACTGTCCCCGCTTACACAATGCACTGAGAAATGATTTCACTCTCCTGAGCTATCAATCCATCATCATTCACCAGCAGTAAATACATTTACAAAAGTTTTTTTACAGTACAGAGACTGCATTTTTTTTTCATCAAGATTTTGCCAACGTACACATGAAGCAAATGCAATGATTTCATAGTCCATGAATCACTTTACAGAATCTAGGTCATGCACTGCATGCAATTTAGAGAGAAGACTTTACCACGTACACACACTTTTTGCATCATGCATGAAGTCACAAACCAGGTTTCAGACATAACTACAAATATTAGAGTTATACTGAATGCTGTAGTAATTGTTTTCTAGAAATGGAGGAAGTCACTTAAGATCTGTGTTCAAATTGCTTCTAAAAGATGTAGCTCAGTGCTGGTGAATTTAGACAATTTCGTAACTGCACTAGATATTATTTAAACAGTAAATCGCCAATGAAGTTCATGCATGCACATTTTAAAACTACAGGAAGCTTGAAACCATACCCCCTGCCATCCATGAGCGTGAAACTAGTTTTAAGGAGACAAAAGAGGAATAAGTGAAGATACTTCCACAAGGCTCCTGATTACCAATTATTTTTATTTTTAGTATAGTTAACTGAAAACTAAGCACCTTATAACAATAGATCGTTTTTGTTAGCGGCCCCACCTGATTATACATCCTTTCACAGGTAAAAGTCCTGTTAGCTTCAATAGAAGTTTTGTCTGCTTAAGGACGGCAGCACTGAGTTAAACAACTACGATATGTTCTATCTCCCTCTCTTCCTTTTTTGAATCAACAGATAATTAAGTCAAATGACCATTTAACTATGCCTTCACTTTTTCCAGGGATTGTTAGTTAGTGCTTTGAGACAATAGTTAAGGGAATAAGTATGTGTTTAACAAATATCATTTCAGCGATACACCTGTCCCCAGAGAGGTCAGTATGAGAATGTTGCATCTGAACACCTCATACCGCAGGCAAAGTAACATGACAAAAAGTGTGGCTGTTTGAAACACTGGAAGGTACAGTCTAGATGTATACTTTACCTTTGACATTGCGACCATTGTCTGGTTTTCAGCATAATAAAAGCGAAGAAAAAGAGAGAAAAAACACAACTAAAATCTACATCAGAAAAAGCGGAAATATTGCTTCAAAATATGTATGTAGTTTGAATTGAAATATTTTTGCACCTCTTTGATTACATTATGTAGACTTTTAGTCCAGATGAAGTCACTTTGACAATTGAGAGGTAATCTGTAAGACTGTTTTAGAGTAGATCAGCAGGTAGTGGAACTGCCTCTAGCTAACTTGCCTTAACAGTAACACGACAAAATTGCTTCTCTACAAGTCTGTTCCTGGGTTGGAGCTCAAAAGTGCTAACCCACGAAGTGGTGATTAGCCCCATGTAATGAACTGAGGCTGAGGTACCCACAGCTGCGGGTGGTGGCACCATCTGGCTGGCTGCATGGGGCATGGGGCTGTGCAGGCGGCCCCGCACAGACCCCCAGGCCCTGTGCCTTCCCAGGAGTCATAGAACGAAAAGTTTGTACCATGGCAGCAAGCTGGCAGCACCTTTCTGAGTAAATACTAGAGAAACACTGAGGAGAAAGATATATCTTAAACATTTCTTCAGCTTTTAGGTGCCTTTCTGCAAGGCCATAGTGGCAAAACTCTGTCCTCCCAGGCACACCCAGCCCTGAATCCTCTCATGAGATCAAACCTCTTTAGGGAAAATATTATTATTGTTGTTATTATTATTTATTATTATTATTTTAAAGAAGCCATACAGGTGGGTAGGCAGATGCCACCCCTATTTATGGGCGTACAACATGACCCACAGACCACCCTCCCTTCTCGTTGTGCACCCTGCTCAGCTGCGGCAGCTCGGAGGTTGTATGAGGGTGGGCGAGGGCCCCGGGGGCTGGCAGGGAGTGAGGGGCGAGGCACGAGGTGCAGCCCTGCTCCTGTGTGCAGCTGGCCACGGCGACCAGCTTACCAGCTTTCAAAGGTGTGTTGGGCTCAAGCTGATATTCACCTGTGGCTGTCCCCTGCTGACAGGTCACCTCCGAGGGCCAAGGTGGCTGTGCCCCTGCCCGCCCAGTGACAGCCCTGTCCCTGCAGAGGGCCCGCTTCAGCCCGCTGTGGAGAAAGGCCGTGGCCTTCTCCTGTGAGGGGAGTTGGAGGTGACGTTGGGCCTTTTCTGTGGCATCATGTCACACCTGTTTTCTCTCTGGCTTTTCTTTTGCTTTCTAAGGACTGGAGAGTACGGGCTGCCGAGCTGGGCCCTCTGGGCCACAGGTGTCGGAGCTTATTAAGTTCCTTTCAGCCTGATGCCTCTCTGTGGCAGGCATCTGTAGCAGTAATGAAGATTTCGTAGGCTGTTTGTTAGGGTCAAAAGCCTGCTGGTTTTTCAGAAGGCTGCAGGGATGTTACTGAGATAACTTTCCAAAGACAATAAAATTCCCAAAGCGTCCCAGTGAACCTGTACCTGCCTGCAAAATCTGGATTGCTGGTGTTTCAGGTGAGAAAGGCTTGGCTGGAATTTGGGTGATGGGTGGAAGTCACAGTTCCTGCCCTGCTGCTTCTGCTGTCAGATAGGCAAATTTAGAATGAGATTAAATTGAGTATGCTCAAATGAATTTAAAAATTAATTTGACCACAGGTGAATTACTATAGTTAGTATTGAGCTAAATAATGCTATTCTCTTCTATCAGAATTCTGTTATGCTAATTCAATTAATATTATTTGAAATGGAAGAAGTGGAAAAAAATTAAATCTGAATTTTGAATTGCATTTTCAGGCAGAGTAGTAGTTTTCAGTGGGTTCACGAACATTCAGAATTATTAGGATCAATAAACAAAATTAAAATGGAATGGGAAATATATTGAACCTTATGCTTCCTTGGCTAATACATTTTGCAAAATCAGAGGCTCCGTAATTTAGCATATTTGGACTGTAGTTTACTTCTGCTTATTGTACTTTACTTTTACTTAGAGCTTTACATTCTCCAGTACAGTATCTACAGCTTCTGCTCAGAATCTGTGAGTCCAGAGAAGATGATGTAGGCTGAATCCTGATTGTCTAACTTGCATGGATAATTCTATAGCAACAATAGGGTTTTATGGCTCACTGTTGAGTAAGGCAAGCAGGACTTGCTGGCTAAATGTAAACATCTTTTCAGCATAAGGTGCCAAATTTTAATATGCTTGGAAGCAGGTGGCATCAATGATTGTTACTAATTCTAATGCAATTCTGATAGCCATCTTCTGTTCTACTGTACTTTTTTAGAATGTGTATGTATGACCTAAACTTAGGGCCAGATTATCTACTACTTTGTAGCTTATGCAGAATGAAATCAGAGTGGCAATGTTTCATCCATTTACACTGTGAATGATCACATCAAATTAGAGGCTATTTAAATTAATTTAAATGGATTATTGACTCCTCATAATAAAATTTATTTTCTTGAGTATTTAACATTTGAAAAATATTATTCAGCAAAATAGAGCTAGAAATTTTTGCTCCTCCATACAGCAAGTATATAAATAATGTGGTGATCTCTACATAAGCTTTGTACCACCATAACCAAAGAAACTTAATATTAAAACTGATTTTTACACATTTTCATCATACAACTGTATGAAGAATGACCAACTGGGAAGTGCTTTAATGAGAATAAATTCTGAAAATAGAAATTGACAAAACAGGTATCTTTAAACATGTTTTATTTTAAAGGTTAGTTTAAATATCTGGGGAAGTTGAAACCAAGATGAAGCTTATGCAATGGTCCAAAAGACAGGCCAAGGTTCAACCTTGGAGATTTTTGCCTCCACATCCTGAACTTGAAATCTTGGCTTGAATGTGAACATGAAATATAGCAAAATGGTATGGTTAGGATGGATTGAATTGAGTTTTCAGGTTCATTTGAAATGAAAAAAAATCAAAGTCCAAAAGAAACAGAAATGAGAAAATAAGTATTTACACATTATATTTAATACAGGAAGTGTAACTGGAAGGAATAATTAGTTCTGCTATTCTAGGAGTTAATCTGGGTGGCAAACGAGCATTCAGACTTAGATTTTAGGAGTTATACAGAAACAAAGAGCCCCTGATATAGACCTGCCAAATGGCAAGAGAACTTAAAGGAATTTTACACTTGCAGTCAATGAATAGGAGAAAAACAGGCAATCACTGAAAATGAAAATTCGTTTTCTTGCTAATTTATGAATCTATGCACAGTCTTCTATGACATAGGTTTTTGAGATCTTATGAATTCCACATACATTCCTTGTCATCTGGCTTGAATAAAAACTATGCAATTCCAGTCATTAGATCATCAGTAGCTTCAAAAGTGTTGTATTTGTGAACTTTTCTGTGAAAGCCTGTTTCAAAGGTCCCTCTCCATTCACAGGGATTTCCAACCTCTTTGCTAAGCTGTTTCCCAAGCTGTTTCCCTAGTTTCTCAAACTCCTTGTCTCTGACAAGGAATCATGAAACACACTCCGTGACTTTGCATAATTAGGAGAGAGTAGAAAAAGAAGAGAGAAAACATCTTTGTAAATTTTGCTGATTGCAAGAATATAGTAACACAAAGAGAAAATCACTTACATGAATTTTACACTAAGCATTTCACCATTCACTAAGTATTTCACTAAGCAATACACAAAATGTCTCAATGGAGTTGCTGAGGATATTTTCTCCAGTGTGAGAGAAAAACCATGTCTCAGTGTTGGATCAGTGAATATAAAATGTATACACTACAGATAAAAGAAAAATAAACTGATCAGTCTCTGAAGTAGGATTTCATACAGCCAAAACCAATGGAATATATGTGAGTATGGGACAGAACTGTGCATGCAATTTTAACTTGATCACCTGATTTTTTTCTCCCCAAATACCAGTATTAGCTTTAGGAATGTTGTGCCCGATTTTTCTATATCTGTATACAGATGGCAGATGGTATTTTAAAAGCAACCCCCTATTTTCATTGGTCTGCTTAGACATGAAAAGCACTATTTAGTGTAAATAAGCCTGCCATATTTGAGCCCTTAATATTTTTAGTGTGCCTTTGAATGTATACAGTTGATTATATTTCGTTTTGCTTACAAAGTGGTGATAATTACTATGAAAAACTGCAATAATTCCATTCTTAGTACATCACATAATATTGATTCACTCTCTACCATACCTTCGCTTGCATGACGGTCCCTAAAAATGTTCTTGGGGTGGACGTTAAAGCCTTCTATGTCATGTACTGAAGATGCTCTTCGTATACTACAAATGCTTTCCTTTGATCTGGAATGGGTTAGTAGATTGCTTGTCTGTATCGTGTCAGGGTAAAGTCTGTCCCATTGCTGTTTGGGTGATGAATGGTCAAGAGGTCCTGATATATTAACCAAAGGTGAACATTTACGGGGTTGAATCAGTGCTTTTGTATCATCCACTTCTGAAGGACTACAGCTTTCTTTTGTAGGTGATTTAAAATGCTTCATAGCCACTGAGTCATCGCTGTGCTTCGACAAATCGACTATCACTGCATCAGGGTCTTCCTGTGGTAAGGACTGCTTCCTGTACGTTAGAAGTCTCAATCCAGGTAACCGGAATCCAAAAAGTCTTCCTACATGTAAATATGTACAAAAGAAGAAAATATTACATATTAGTTTCTAGTCAGAAAAATCTGCTTTTTTTTTTTACACAGAGAGTGCATAATAATAGCTATAAATAATTGACTTATTCCTCATAAATTACAATGATTGGCAATGGAACGTGTAAATATGGAAATATTATATAGCTCTAAGTTTGTTATAGTCATAGTGTTAAAGAATTTCATACTTCAGTCAGATCTAAGTTATCATTATTATTTTGAGTCTTATTTTATTTCAATTGTTAAATTGTTCTTGTCTCAACCTACGAGTCTCTCTACTCTTATTCCTCCAATTCTCTCCCCTATTCCTTGGCAAGGAGGGGAGAGTCATTGAGCATCTGTGTTTGGCTACTAGTCAAGTGAAACCACCATGTGAGCTCAGAACAGGGATAGCAGCATTGATTCTACAGTCTGTTTTAAAAGAGCTAAGATTATCTGTTCTGATGGTCCTTTCTAAATTAAAAACCTATGCCTCTATAAAAGACTGCTAGAGCACATCAAACTACTTTGCTTCATAGCTGTTATGCTGAAATAGGTATTTGTGGATTCTATTATTAGTGGAAGTCCATGTGCTCAAAAGTGTTGATTTATTTGCTACAAATTAGGCAGGAAGATACTAGAGCTAATCCTTCAGGAAAGAAAAATAAGTTGTGTATCAGTTTTGCCACAATCCTTTCCAATACTTAAATTTTATGATTGAATAAAACACTTACTTCAAATTAGTTTAAAATGAAAAATAAAGGGACATGCAGGAGGAAAAAACAGTGACACAGCTTTCAAGCCTCAATGGCACCTGTACAATGCGGTTATCTTTTGTACATTTGCATGAGTGTGGGCTTCTTTTGCCTTGGTATATTGAATGGCAGGGTAGGCTATTCCGAGTGTGTGGAAAACTAACAATTTTGTGTAACGGTAATAAATACCAGTAGCTGAGAGGAAGTGTGAAATATGGTCTAGATAAATGAAACATAGGGGAAGAACTGTAAAATCTACAGACTGTCCCTCTAAAAAACCAAACCCATATAGCAAATATTTTTTAAAGTATTGTGTAATACAACTCATATGGAGGCACAGGGACTTCTAATTTACAGAAAACATAGTAACAGTTTAGAAAAAGAAATGCTAAAAAAATTTCAACAAAATGAAATAATTGAAATTATCAGATGTCATTGAATAAATGGTCTGACTTAACTAATAGCTTCTTGTCACTCATCACTTTGCTACAGGAATGTTTTCCACAGTGAATCAACAGCAAAATGGTTGCTCAGTGAACATCTCAAAATGTCTTATTCCCTCTTACTGGCATAAGAAATTCTGTTTGGGATAATTTTTTTTTTCAGTAATTTTTAATCGCCAGTGTTTGTAGCTACCTAATATTTATTAATATTTAGCACTGAAATTTATCATCCCATGCTGAAATGCTTTGAAAGTCTTTCATTGATGCCTATGCCCAACAGTAAGTGTAGAGCAGTTGATGGCACAGCTTAATCATTTAATGTTTTAAAGATGAATGTCCTACATATTTAGTATTGAATTTATTTTGAATTCTAAATGAATGGAAGCGAGAGTGCCCTGCTCTTAAAGAAAGACCTATGTAAGAGTTAAAGTTGCTATACTAGACACAACCACAGATCCATCTAGCACACTGTTGGACCTCTGATATTTTCCAGTAGTAGATATATGGAGGAGGAGTTTAAGAACCACTACGTTATGTTATTTATCTCAGTAAATTTACTCAATTTCTGGCTATCTGCAGTTCAGAAACTTTCTGAGCTGGAGATTGTGTTCAAACCACAAACTGAATGTTTGGTGTACCTTTCCTCACTAATTTGTCTCAGTGCTTTTGAAATGCACCTGCACTTTGGTCTGCAAAGCATCCTATAGGAAACAGTTCCATAATTTTAGCATACCTTTGTGAAACAGTACTTCCCTTACTTGCTATAAAGCTAAGCCTTGGGAGGGTGCTAGTTCTTATGATCTAAAAAATCGCTAATAGCTGCTCCCTTTTTATAGTCTCAATAATGTTTATAGCTTTTCATACATCTGTCACATTCCTCTTTGCATACCTCTTTTGCAATCTGAAGAATGCTTGTCTAACTGTATTGTTTATCTCTGGTCATCCTTCTCACTCTTCTTGGTTCCTTTTCATTTCTAGTGTAATCATTTTTGACAGTGGCCTGAACTACTCCCAGACTCAGGGATCAATGCAGTGACATAATGGCTTTTTGTTTTGATCTTCATTCCTTTCCTTATAATTCCTAATATTTGATTTACTTTTTGAGTTATTTTCCTAGCCTGTGCTAATTTAAGATATTTTCACAACAGCTGAGAGATTTCTTTCTTGATTGGTAACAGATAATTTAGTGTTTATTATTATGTCTGTAAAAAAATTTGTTTGCTGTTTTATCACTCAGCCACTCAGTATCATAGGATATGTCTGTAAATCTCATATCCTATTCTGAATAATTTTGTGACATCTGCAAACATCCTCACCTCACTGTTTGCATCTTTTTTATCTAGGTAACTGAAAATATATTAAATAATAAAGAACCTGTGAGACCCTACTTGTAACATATCAGTATTTAGAAATCTGACCATTTCTTTCCACCTTTTTTTTTTTTCCTTTAAATTATAAAACCACGGAACAAGCTTCCTTTCTTTCCTTCACAATTTCTGAAAAAGCTCATTGAATTCCAAATATTTAGCATTTGATCTATTACTCTAATGCATACACACACACAACAGTAGAGTAGACAGAAATCTATTACATAAAAAGTGTCATGCATGTTTTAAATAGCAGCTAGAGGTGCCAATTTTCAATCTGCACAGTGATATTCAGCAGAGTGCACCTTGGGAACATGCATATTTCTTATAACTTACTAAGTATACTTGAACAAATTGCTTACAGTTGAAATTAGTGACGTACATAAAAAATATTATTTTTAAATGCATGTAGAATGGAGTTGTAAAGTAGTGTATAAAGTGTATAAATCAATTTTGAAAGCTTATTGCATCAAAAGTGAAGCAAATACTATAATTCTTTTTTTCATCAATTACATTGAACTAGAAATACCATTCATAAGGTTTTCTGGCATTAGACACTGTTAAAGGCTTTTTGCTGGCAATCTATTTTAGTCATATTCATGGTGGTGCAGATGGTCTTTTCTGCTTCACCAAGTTAATATGACCATGCTATACTGCATTACTGATTTAGCTGTCTAACTGCAGTTCAGCTGGAAAGAATACTCAGTGAGAATTTTGTTTCTTGCTAAGACTCCAGGGCATGAAATAGAAAACTTAAATGAGTACCTTTTTGCTATTCTTCCATAAATTGTAATAATTGGTCTCAAAGTTAAAATCCATATTTCCTGCTTTTTAATTTGAATATTCTATAGAGGAGGAGCATTGTTATTCTTCTTCATTGTATAGATAATGAGCTATATGATGTGCTAGACATTCAGCTCTCTCCTGCAGTACTGCAGCTAAAGTTATCAGGAGGCCCATTCAGAATTTGTCTAGTTTACATTACACTTCCTTGCTCAGCTCAGTAATAATACAGTTTGTCATGAAGCAAAATTCATGGCCCCAGGCCTGCTGTCCCAGTATAGACTAGAAGGGTCAGTGGAAACTTTACTGGCATACTGTTTATGGGATAAAATAATTTGTTTGAAAGTGAACAACACTGCTTTGTGTAGGTATGATGGCAGAGCAGATTTATCTTGGCTTACAATATTAAAATATTTTTGAGGTACAACTAACTATTTACTATGAATATACAGATGATGTTCCATTAAAATCCTTATGTTTTATTGAAGTTGAAGACTAGATTGCCAAATTCTTCATGATGCTGACTCAGAGATTTGTATAATTGTGTCTTACTAAGAGCAATTGAGGAAAGCAGTGAGTCTGAGTCACAATTCCAGGCTTACATTCCACCTCCTCCTTTCAAACCTTGCTTCACTGAATAAGTAATTTGCAAATGAGTTAATCTGTTGGTTGCATTTATTCTCTGTGCCACCTCAGCTAACTCTTAGAGTTTCTAAATAGTAGAACTCACTCCTAAAATATACTGCAGGTATAAAAGGACACTTCTAAACTGTTTGCAGATGTAGTTATCTCCAAAGTCCCAAATTCAAATCAACTTCTCTTAACTTCTGAAAGCCTTTAAAAATTCTTTCTCATATTTTGGAAGATGAAAGGAGAAGATATTTAGAATTCATGGAAATAAAATGTTTTGTTTAATAGTTTTGTTAAAAAAAATGTAGGAAAAAAAGACTATCTTTATAAGAAAAATTAATAGCCTTGCTTTTCGTAAGTATTGAAATGGGAAATGTTAACATTAATGGAAAATTGAAATTCTGAAACACTAAATACCATTATATAGAAATTCGTGGTGGGGGAAAAAATAAAAGAAGAATGAAAATTGGTTCCAAAAAGACCTTTTTAACAGTTATGATTGTGGTTGCAGATTTCCTGCCCCATCAATACAAATTTCATTTTGAAAATGGGGCATTCCAGCAAAAAAAAAAAAAACAAACCCCAAAAACAGAATAAGGATTTCTTTAGTAACTCAACACACTTGTGTAGCAAGTAATTCCCCTATCTGTTCTGTGCAAGCATTCTGTAATAAGGAAAGGAAATTACATTTGGCCTGAATATTGCCTTGCTACAGTGAAGATACTCTGCAAACTTCTGGTGATGAAAATGTATATTTACATACTGGACACAGTGGTAAAGTCAGAGAAACACCTACAAGTGAGAAAGCTTTATTTTCCCTACAATTTCTTTACTGTTTTTAGGATTACTGGTAGATGCTATGTGCTATCCCAAAGTCTATTTAACCCATGTCTAAGTCAACCAAAGGGAAAACAGGCCATAGATGGTCTCAGGCTCCCTAGCTGGGAGTTAGATTTAGTCTATTAAACTCTTAACCTTCTCTAGATTAGACTTGCCAAAATCAAATAAAAGG